TAAAAAATTAATTATAGGAATTTTTTTGCTTCTACATTGGTCACCTTCTTTTGCTTAATTGGATTTTAAAACTCTGAAACACTTCCTTGTAGGAAGTGACACTCCTGAGGAACATGTAGGAAAATGCCAGCCACTCTCCTGGATACCGTAGGCCCTTCCACAGCCAAGGTGGCCACACTGTCCCCTGACTGTTTGGAGATATTCCTTCTACTCCCAAGAGAAAGGAGGCCAAATCAGGAATTGAAATGTCTGCATATAGCAGACAGGTGTGACCTGGAGAACAGAAGTCCAGAGTGCTCAAACCTCTACAACTGCCCACCCACTTGCTGGATGCTGGGAACAGCCTGTTTCCAAAGCAACACTCTAGATCACGGGTTATTATTTCTGTCTTTGAAACGGCTTTATTGATATGCAATAAAGCCATAAAGCATAAAATTCACTCCTTTAAAAGTATACAATTAAGAGGGTTTTAAAAAGTATATTCACAAGAGTTGTGCAACCATCATGATAATCTAATTTTGGAATATTCTCACCCAATAAAGAAATTCATACACATTAATAGTCACTCCTTATCTCCCATTCCTAATCCCAGCTTCAGGCAACCACAATCCACTAATCTGTCTATAGGTTTGCCTATTCTGGACATTTCATGTAGAGAGAATCATGCAGTATATTTTTTTTGTAAAGGACTTTTCATTTAGCATGAATTGAGAAAAACTTTGTTTTGTTTTTTCAAGATTGCTTCATTACTTAGCATGTACCCATAGTTCATTTCCCCTCCCCGCCTTTTTGTACTAGGGTTTGAACTCAGGGCTTCACACTTGCTAATCAGGCACTTTACCACTTGAGCAATGCTAAAATCAAATACTACATGACCTTCTGTGATGGGATTCTTTCACTTATCCTACTGTTTTCAAGGCTTATCCATGTTGTAGCATCTGTCTGCACTTCATTCCTCATTACAGTCGAATAGTATAGATATGCCTCATGTTTATCCAAAGGTCAGTTAATGACATTTGTGTTGTGTACATGTTTTGGCCATTATGGGTAATACTGCTGTAATAATGCATATACATTTGTGTGGCCATATGTTTTCATTTAAAGGGCATATACCTAGGAGTAGAATTCTGGGTTATAGGGTAACTCTGTGTTTAATAGTTTCAGGAACTACTGACTGTTTTTTCGAAGCAGCTGTGCCATTCTAATTCTCACCAGCAATGTGCAAAGTGTTCTGACATCTCCACATCCTTGCTATTGTCTGACCTTTTGAGTCTCCCCATCCTAGTAGGTGGCTAAGGGTCTCAACTCTTGCATTACAAGAGTGGTTTATGTATTTTGGATACACTTCTGTTATCAAATAATATATATGAATTGCAACTATTCTTTCCCATTCTGTGTGTTAGCTTTTCAGTTTCCTAAGGGTGTCATTTGAAACAGAAAGTTTTAAAATTTGATGATTTCAATTTATTTTTTATTTTGGTGCCATATCTAAGAACTCTTTGCCAAGTCCAGAATCATGAAAGTTTATTCTTATGTTTTCTCCAAGGAGTTTTATAGTTTTAGCTCCTGCATTTAGATATTTGATCCATTTTGAGTTCATTTATATAAATAGTGTTAGGTGAGGTTCCAATGTCAGTTTTTTTGCATTTTGGTTATCTGGCTTTCCTAGCACCATCTGTTAAAAAGACTGTTCTTTTCCAACGAGTTATCTTGCTGCTTATGTCAAAATTTCATAAATGCAAGTTTTTATTTCTAGATTTTGAATTCTATTGCATTGACAATACCACGTTTTCTTGACTACCATAGTTGTATAATAATTTTGACAGAAAACTTTGTTTTCTATTTTATCAAGATTGTTTTGGCGATTTTGGGTCTTTTGAATTTCCATATGAAGTTTTGGAACAGCTTTTCAATTTCTGCAAAAAAGCAAGCTGGTGTTTGGATAGGGATTACACTGAATCTGTATGTCGCTTTGGGGAGAATTGCCTCTTAACCAAATTAAATCCTGGTCCATGAACTCAAGATGTCTTTCAACTTATTAAGATCTTTTTTAAACTATTTTCAACAACATTTTAGAGTTTTACTGTGTAAGTCTTGGACTACTTTTGTTAAATATATTTTTAAAATTCTATTCTTTGTGATGTTATTATAAATGGAATTAAAAAAATTTTGTTTTCAAATTGTTGGTTGCTAGTGGATAGAAAAACTTTTTTCCCCCCAGTACTGGGGTTTGAACTTAGGGTTTGTGCTTACTAGGCAAGTACTAGTACTTTACCACCTGAGCCATGCCCCTCCCCCTGCCCCTTATTGCCATTGTTATTTTTGAGACAGGGTCTTGCTTTACATCTGGGGCAGCCTGGACCACTGTACTCCTATTACTCCTTCCCCACATAGCTAGGATGACAGGTGCACACCACCACACCCAGCTTTTTTCAGTTGAGACTCAGCTAAAACAAGTGATTTTACACATTGATCTTGTAATCTTGCTGCTTTGTAAGTTCCAATAGGTTTTTTGATTAATTCCTTAGGATTATCTATATAAAAGGTTGTGTTACCTATGAATGGTGATCATGGGTGCCTTTACTATTTTTTGTTTTCCCAGCTGGCTTAGACAGTGCAACACTGAATAAAAGTGGAAAAAGTGGACACCCTTCACCTATTCCTGTATCTTGGGGGGAACACAGCCAGTCTCTCCTCTTCTAAGTTAAGATGTGAACTCTCAGTTTTCTATAGAGGTCCCTTATCAGAAGACAATCTCTTCAATTCCTACTTTTTTGTGGTGCTAAGATTTGAACTCAGGGTTTCACACTTGCTAGGCAGGCACTCTATCACTTGACAACTCTGCCAGCCCTCTTTTGTGTTGGGTATTTTTGAGATAGGGTCTTGCTTTTGTTGCCCAGGTTGGCTTTGAACCACGATCCTCCTGATCTATGCCTCCCAAGTAGCTAGGATTACAGAAATGAGCCATCAGTGTTGGCCAATTCCTACTTTTTGAGTGTTTCTTTTTTTTTTTTAAATCATGAAAGGATATTGGATTTTTTCCAAATTCTTTTCTTGTATATCTATTGAGATTATTATGTGTTTTTCTGTTCTTTACTGATATAGTTTTTTTGATGTTAAACCAACTTCGTGTATCTGAGAAACATTCTGTCTGGTCATATTAATGGTGCCTTTTACATAATGCTGAATTTGACTTGCTAGTATTTTGCGAAAAATGTTGGTATCTGTATTTTTTTTTAATTTTTATTTTTTTATTATTCATATGTGCACACAATGCTTGGGTCATTTCTCCCCCCTGCCCCCACCCCCTCTGCCCCTCCCTCTCCCCCCCACCCCCTCGATACCCGGCAGAAACTATTTTACCCTTATCTCTAATTTTGTTGAAGAGAGAGTATAAGCAATAATAGGAAGGAACAAGGGGTTTTGCTAGTTGAGATAAGGATAGCTATACAGGGAGTTGACTCACATTGATTTCCTGTGCGTGTGTGTTACCTTCTAGGTTAATTCTTCTTGATCTAACCTTTTCTCTAGTTCCTGGTCCCCTTCTCCTATTGGCCTCAGTTGCTTTTAAGGTATCTGCTTTAGTTTCTCTGTGTTGAGGGCAACAAATGCTAGCTAATTTTTTAGGTGTCTTACCTATCCTCTTCTCTCCCTTGTGTGCACTCGCTTTTGTCTTGTGATCAAAGTTCAATCACCTTGTTGTGTTTGCCCTTGATCTAATGTCCGCATATGAGGGTGAACATACGATTTTTGGTCTTTTGGGCCAGACTAACCTCACTCAGAATGATGTTCTCCAATTCCATCCATTTACCAGTGAATGATAACATTTCGTTCTTCTTCAAGGCTGCATAAAATTCCATTGTGTATAGATACCACATTTTCTTGATCCATTTGTCAGTGGTGGGGCATCTTGGCTGTTTCCATAACTTGGCTATTGTGAATAGTGCCGCAATAAACATGGGTGTGCAGGTGCCTCTGGAGTAACCTGTGTCACAGTCTTTTGGATATATCCCCAAGAGTGGTATTGCTAGATCAAATGGTAGATCAATGTTTAGCTTTTTAAGTAGCCTCCAAATTTTTTTCCAGAGTAGTTGTACTAGTTTACATTCCCAGCAGCAGTGTAAGAGGGTTCCTTTCTCCCCACATCCTCTCCAACACCTGTTGTTGGTGGTGTTGCTGATGATGGCTATTCTAACAGGGGTGGGTATCTGTATTCTTAAGGGATGCTGTTGTTTTCCTGTGATGTCTTTGTCTGGTTTTGTTATGATACTGGTGTCATACATTGAATTAGGAGCATTCCCTTCTCCTTTTTTGAAAGAGTTTATGCAAGATTTGGTATTAACTCCTTAAATGTTGGATAGAACTCACCAGTGAAACTGTGTGGTTGTAGGAAGTTTTAAGATTAATTCAATCTCTTTTCATATGATTGGTTATTTAGGTAATTTATTTCTTCTTAAGTCAGGTTAGTAGTTTATGTCTCTCTAGAATTTGACCATTTCATCAAAGTTAACTAATTTGTTTTCATACATTTGTACATAGTGCTCCTTTTTATTCATTTTAATTTCTGTGAGCTCAGGATTGATTTTTTCCTCTCATTTCTAATTTTAATAACTTGGGTCCTCTCTATTTGTCTTGGTCAGTTAGCTAAAGGTTGGCTAATTTTGTTGTTGATTATGTATCACTTTTATAATTGAAGTATTGAGAAGACAGAAAAAGCAAGGGCAATCCCTGCAGCAGCAGATGGGAGAACATTTGGGTAAACTGCAGCAGGTGGGAGAACATTTGGGTAAACTGGGTTTTTGCAGCCCCCATTCCTCCTAAAGGCCATGTGGTTGACCCTGTTTTCCCACAACCTCTTTACCATCTCTGCTTGAAGTGGTAGGTAAGGTGACGCTCAGGAATGGTGGCACGACCACCAGGTGCTGGTGCCTTGGTGACTTACCAGCACTGTAGTCAATGTTGATCTCATACCATACACCTGAAGTGATGTCACAACTCACCGGTACTGTTTTTGCCGTGTTTCCAATTCTTTACGTCTGTGCTGCTTGAGAATGTGAATTTGGTCATCTCGGGCCAACTTTGCTGTGGAGGAAGGACAACTATGAGAGGAGCCCAGGAAGAACAATAATGATGTCCAGTGTTTGGGTTTTCCTCAGATGCCTTCCCATGCTGAGTGCTTAACATGCACCATCCTGCCTCACATTTTATGCTGAGGAAACTGAGGCCTGGGGAGGTTGAATAGCTTTGTGTCTGTCCAAAATCAAATACCTAATTAATGAGTTTACTACATTTTTTTGACTAGGTCTCATTATGTAGTCCAGGCTGGCCTCAAACTTGTGGTCCTCCTGCCTCAGCCTCCCTGAGTGCTAATCAGTGGATTTTCCACACAAGATTCAAATCCCATGCTTTTAGCCATTTCTTTTACAAAAGGCAAAAATATTTCCTCATTTTCCTGTCCACTTGCTCAGTTAAACCTTGGGCACTCTGCCTCTTGGTGCTCAGAGAATCAGGTCCAGATACACCAGTCAGGCTTGGTCCGAACCCAGGTGGCGATTTTCTGCCTCTCTGTGCCAAGTACAGCACATGTAGCACAACTCATCTCTGGCTTGCTGTGCATTTCCACCTGGGGGCTCTCATCTTCCACTAGAGTCCTCAGCATATTGCTTCTGCAGGAATTCAGGGCCCTCAGTGCAGAGATACCTGCTCACTTCAGGAGAAAGGAATTTCACAGTCTTTGGTGGATATCTTTAAATCAATGTAGAAATGTCCTGCAAGTCTTATGTTGATCTGAAATGGTAGTTTTAGCATTGAACTAGGGCTTTAGCATTGCCTGAGAGAGCTGTGGAACTCTGCAGGACTCTGTTTCTAAGTCCATTTGGTTGCTTTATGGAGTAATGTGTGGTTTATGACCCAATATATAGGCACTCTCCAGTCCCTGTGTACCTACACAGACTAAGAAATTCCATTCTAAAACAGAGTGTAGTCTTCTAGGCTGTGTGCTGTAGAGGTAACACATTTGTGTTTGGACTTAAAGCCATACATAAATTGAGCCTAAGAAAGTTGCCTTGAGTTTCTCACATGAAATGCCTACTTCTAGGATCCTGGTAGAGATTCAGTGTGAAAATTCAGTAAAACAACACAGAGCTGGTGCCTGACAAATGCCCAATAAATAGGAAGATAGTTATGATGCTCACTACTATAATGGGTCTGAGATGTTCCTTCCTGCCTCTAAGCCTGGGCTTCATGGGTGGCTTGTCTCTTGGCCTGTCCTGCTGCCACCTCTCATTCCAGCAGCTGGGGTAAGGGGCTAAGAACAGGGTTGCTTCTCTGAGTCTTTAGCACAGATGAGGTCACACACACTTATATATGTCCACATGTGATATGATATAATATATCTCAGTGGTGAAGAACTAGGATTTTAAAAATTCCATTCTACATTGATATTTTATAAGATAAGCTAAAAATTAATTACTAGAAAAATAAAATTAAAAAGAATAAACCAGACATTCAAAATGTAAGCCCAATAACTCAGAATTATTCTGTCAGGTTACTGTAAAAGTTTCTAAAACACCTATGCTCAATCTTTTTCCTTTCCTTGTTGCAGACCTGTCCTCATCAGTTCTCAGACCACACTGAGAGCTCACTGGTCCATAGTACCTCCAGACTGAGGAAGCTCTAGTTCCAAACCTGGAACTGGGGTCCAAAGGAGAAGATTAAGGGGACACGCCTGCATTCTGCCTGGGGGAAATAAAGCCAATTGGTAGGGGAAGCTCAGGTTCCTGAAGGTCAGGTGGGTATGAACTGTGACAATGACTGCAGTCACTGGTTATTGGGGACACTAATGTGGGCACACAGTGTTTCTCTTTGCTAGTCTACGTTGAAAACTTAGCCTATCTCTTGAGCACTTGGGCTCTGAGGAGTTGTATTTCTTTAGCTTCACTGGTATGAGTAAGTCAGAACCTATGGACCTCAACATCCTAAGTTTCACAAAGAGAATGACTCTATCTGGCCCTGACAGTGTTGGGAGACTCCATGTAATGACTGATGGAACTTCTGAGGGTGTGGTAGGATGACAGAGCCTGGACTGATAGTGGAGTCCAAGGACTCACAGGAGCTCCTGAATGAAGCTGTCTCTCCACAGAGATGCTCTGGATCCCTGAAACCCCAAGTGACAGTCCCCCGACTTCTATGTTCACTTAGATTTAAGAGGTCATTATGTGGTAAGTAATTGAATCACTTGTGAGGTAGGTCCTCTCCTTCCCAGATTGCTCAAAGAATTGCTTATTGTACCATGTGGTGGATTAATAATGGTCACAGTCCTTTGACACTCTTTGAAGTAGGTAGAGTAAGTAGGTATTGATGTCCTTTCCCCTTGAATCTGGGTGGCTGCTGTGACTGCTCAGACCAACAGAATATGGTGGAGTTACACCATGGCAGTTTCCAGGCCCAGGTCTGAAGATACTGGTAGATTCCACTGTCTCTTTCTTGAAATACTTGCTTTTGTAAGTCAGACACCAGATAGGAAGTGCAGGCTACCACTCTGTAAGAAACCTTAAAGAATAAGATGCCATGTGGTGATAGAAGCCAAGGAATCCTGAGGCACTAGACATGTGAGAGAAGAACCATTTCTGAAGTGAATCCTCTGCCCCATTTCCCTCAGCTACTGCCACAGAATCCACAGAGGAACCACCTGGCAGTCTCTTCCAAATCATGGGCAAAATTAAAGCTACTAAGATGGTTGGTTACCAGCAATAGATATGGAACTCACTAGCCAGCTTCTCTGTGTCCCTGCAGACCACACTCTACGCTGTCTTGTCTCTAAAGGTGATCACAATGAATTACATCAATTGGCTTCCACTGGGCTCCACCATGAAGCCTGTCCAGAGTACAGAGTGTGGGAGAGCACAGAAAAGCCATTTCCTCCTCACTCCTCTGTCAAACAGACGTCTACCTCTCTACTGAGAGCCACAGGTCCTACATGGGGGAATTCTCCAGGACACTCCCCTTCTGGATTATTCTGTCATTCTTCCTGTGCCCCACCCATTAGAATTGGCCATGCTGGTAGCCCTACACACAGAGCCCTGCGTTGGTGGCCCTTCTGCACACTGTCCCATGCCTTGCTAAAGTTCCTTTCTTGAACCCTCTTGAATCACCTGAATCTGACTGCACCATCTCATGTTGCTGGGAAGAGCAACAAGGTCTTCAGGAAGAAAGATTTTACAACCTAGACCTTAGAGGTCTAGGCAGGAGGGAGATGCATAGTGAGGGTTTCCAACCACAGGATAGAGAGAAGAGCCCTGTCTGCTACCACAAGAAACAGTGAATTTTATGATATTTTTTCCTGATGTAACATGAGTGGGACAAAAACCCTTCTAGACCCAAATGTCTTGTCCGGAAATAATCTTGGAATTTGGTTTCTTAAGTCAAATCCCATGTTAGGAAAAATAGGATGCGGCCTGATGACTGTGGGACACCAGGTAGAGAAGAACTTCTTCCTCCTTTGCCTGTTTTCTTAGCAAAAGAGGGGTGGGTAACAATCATCCTCACCTCCCACCCCCAGTCCCAGACTGTGAAGAACAAATAAGCCAACATCAGGGAATACTGTCAATAGATGTGTTAAATGCTGTCCCAAGTAGAAGCAGCTGTCCTCTGACTCATTATTACAGAGGATGCCTGGCATTTGCAGGTTTATCATACAGGTTGAGACTGGGAGCAAACTCAAGTGCCATGACTGGAAGGGCCATAAGGTAGAAGTTTGCCCAGGTGTGAGTTTGACTCATGCATGCTAAGAGGCTGATGTGTAAGGGGTGGTCATTCAGGGAGAGAACAGCTTAACATCAATTTATCTTTATCTCTGACATCAATTTATCTTTCTGATCTTCTATACCAGGCCAGCTGCATATTCCCAACAAAGAATGGTCTCTTGAGGACATGCCAGACTTCTCTTGGAGTCTACACATCTAGGTTCTCTTTCGGGAGGCAGAGTCAGAGGATCACGAGTTCAAGGCCAGTGTGAGCATATAGCAAGAACGCCTGTGAACCCTAGGATTCCCTATGGCCCCTTGAAGCTGGCATTCTTTGTGCTCCTTGTTCAGTCCTTGCTTACCTTGGGTTGCAGGAGCCCCTGAGCCCTACAGTAATCTCACAGAGGACAGCCTGTGAACATTGACACCTGGAGAGCTGCCCATCCAGGGTACATCCCATACATACTTGCTACTAGGGACCCTAGTCACCCACTGACAAAAATGGAGGTCATAATCCCCCCATAGGACAGTAGTGCAGAGGGAGGTCACAGCCGGCATGTGTCATGGCGTCACTGAGTCTACCCCTGGGCCTTTTAGTACCCAGGGAGATCATACTTCCTGCAGGAGCACTGAGGCACAGAGCAGGTCCTCCACTCAGGATGGCAGAGTCTCACTCCCGGGAACACAGCTCTCTGAGAAGAGGAGGCCTTCTGGCCCCCTGGAAACGGGGGAGAGGCAGGGACCTGAGCACTCACCACGTCCATCTCTCAGGATGATCTCACCCTCGCCCGTGATCCAGCGGTAGCAGGGGAACTCGATGTAATCCCCATGGGGTGTCTTCAGTGTGATATACTTCAGGTACCAGTCATCGTGGAGCCAGTACTTGCGCTTCTCAATTTTGACCAGATGGATGTCACCCAGTTCTTCATCCACAGTCACATCATAGGAATCAACCTGAACAGGAGACCAGGAGAATCAGTGGACAGGGGTCTCCTGAGCCTGGGTTCAGAAGGGGTTAGGAACATGCCACCCCAAATGTGTGCTGTTCTGGTACATTGAATATTTTGAGTTAAAGGAACTTAAAACACAGCAGGGACAAGATCACTCTGACCGTTCTTAAAGGTAGGAGATGAAATTCTCCTCATTCTCTCAGGAAAGACATCCTCCCCAGGATGGGAAGTTGAAGCCAAAGGAACTCTATACAAATAGACCTTATTAACCTAACCCTCACCTTCTTATTCACTTTCTGACTCAATTACCTAACCTTGACTCAGCCCCTTCCTTTTCACATTTCCTGACTCACCATTCTTCATACAGTTTGGTGACCAAGTGACTGACTCTACTCCTTTGGTGAGTTTTCATTTGCCATGATATATAATATTTGTATTAAATAAACTTGTATGCTTTTCTCCTGTTATTTTATATTACTTTAATTCTTGGGCCTGGTTGAAAATGGGAAGTGGTAAAGTTTCACTTTCATAATAGTTCATTTAGCCAAGATTCTTTTAAAAACATTTTTTACAGGGAATAATTGCATGTATTTATGGGGTACAGGATGGCACTTCAGTATGTGTGTACAAGGTAAAAATAACCAAGCTAAGGTAATTAGCACTTCTATCATTAAAAAATCCTCTTTTCTTTTGAAATATACAATAAGTTAATTTCGTCTATACTCACCTTACTGCACCACTGTAAAACACTAGAACTTGATTTTTAGTGCCTTTTATTCCCCTCATCCTTCCCAGCTTCTAGTGACCATTCTTCTTCTCCTCTCTACCTTTACAGCTTTTTAGCTACCACATGTAAGTGAGAAAATACAGCATTTGTCTTTCTGTGCTTGATATACTTCACTTAATGAAATGTCCTCCATGCTCATTCAGGTTGCCACAAATGTCAGAATTTCTTTGTTTTTATGGCAAAATAGTATTCCACTGTATGTACATATACCATATATTCTTTATTCATTCATCTGAGATGTTGCTAGACACCTCAGTGCATTCCATATCTGTAGTCAAGATTCTTAATGAGTCCCTTAAATGAACCCCTTAGTTCATTTAGCCAAAATACCCCTTTGGGGGGCTGTACCCCACCAAATGCCTGCCCTTGAGGGGCTTTGTACTGTGCTTTGGGGGAAGGAGGTCGACAAGTCCTGGGCCTGCCCTCAGTAGATAGAATCCAGTGACCCACCAACTGTCTTCTGTCTGCATATCACTCAGGCTGGGAGAGGGGAAAGTGCCCAGGCTCTTGCTGGTACTTGCTAGGCTTAGCTTGGTGAATGAGGGTCCTCTTCAGCCGGCCCTAGGGGCTGGATGAGGCAAGTTGGTCCTCACACAAGGTGGCCCTTTACAATACACAAAGGGCTTGCTGACAATGACTAAGGATCCCATAGTCACTTATGAGATAGGGAGCTATGATCTGTTTCACAGAGGAGGACACCGAGGCCCAGTAAGGCCCACTTGAGACATTAATTGGTAGAGCTGGAAGAATATTCTAGGCTGTCCTTATACAGCCACTTTATCTTTCTGTAGTTCTCAGTAGGGCTGATAAGTGAGTAAAAATATGGAGGCTTAGAGAAAGTGAGGTTGCATGGATCCAAGTCCTCCAGCTCCTGTAAGCCACAGCAACAGTGATGCTGGGAACACTCAGCTAGCAGTCCCATGCATCTGTGGCACTGGCCACAGATAAGCCCTCCTTGCCATGAAAAGGTGCCACCACAGGCTGGGGTCAATGCTGCCATCAAGCCCCTGGGGCAAAGCTGCTGGATGCCCTGGGCATGCCTAGCTCCTGTCTCCAGGACATGGGTGGGCACCATAGCAGCACACACAGCTTGTGACTGGCCTGTGTCTCTGCAGCAATCAATGGCAGGTGGGGAGGAAGGGTGAAGGCTCAGTCATTGCACAATGTTCCAATGACCAGCAGGTTTGAGAATCCTGGACTCGATGCTCTCCAATGCACTAAGCCTGATTTCCTTGATCTTTTCCCTTGGCGGCAGAACCTAGAGTTCTCACATGACAGTGAAGCTCCTGGAGGGGAAGGAGGAGTTCATACTGCATGTGATCCCATCTAGCCTTCTTTCCATCCCCATTCCCAAGCTGCCAGGAAAAGCCCTGGAAGACTAGAGAACTTTATGAGAGAAATAGGGAAGTTAGGTGTTTTCAGCAAAGCTCTTGACTCTGAATGCTGTGAGGAGTTTGCATGTGGTAGCTGTGGCAGAGGCCAGACACTGTGGTCAGACAGGGAAAACTTCCTCCTCATGACCTGCGGTCTGGGCCTTAGTTAAGAACAGTTTCTGAGGACAGAGGGGTCCTCAGAATGTGCTGGGATGACAAATCTGGGGTCTTTCCACATGTGCAGGAGCCTTTGTCTGACCAGAATGTCCCTCTTGCAGATAGGGGGCTAGTTTGGCCTGGCTGTTCAAGAAGGAGCCCTTCTGTCCTACAGCTCATTTGCAGGAGAGTAGGGATGATTGGCAAGGCCACACAGAGTACTGACCCTAGGATCTGCAGGACCTAAGGCAAGGACCCTGTCTGTTCTGCAGGGTGGTGACTTGTGGGGTGAGGCCAGCAGGCCTCAGGGTGCAGAGTTGGGGTGAGAATGACCTGGGATGGGAGGGGTGAAAAGGTGCTTCTCTTGAGGGGTGGATTTTAGGGGTGGAAGAGGAGAAGACCTCTGTACTGCGGCATTCAGTGGTCCAGGGCGGGCTCTGATGGGACAAGAAGCCCAATGTCCAGGGGAGTTGGGGCCATCTAGAAGAGCACAATAGCCACAGGATGGTTGAGGACTGGATGCCAGGCCCTGCACATGGAAGAGATCTCTAGAGGCCTCAGCCCTCTTGGGGCGAAGATGGAAATTCCTGATCCCACTGAGGAATGGCAGGAGGGCAGTGAGGGCATAGGGTCAGAGGGCCATATAAGCCCTGGTGTCTGGGGCTCTGAGTTCACATCCTAGCTTTGAAGGGACTGGTCATGTAGCCTGGGAAACTTGCTTCACACTTTGAGGCTGTTATTTCATCTTTTAAGGAGAGAGAATACCTAGCTTGCAGGACCACTGAGCAATCTAAATTGCATGATGCCTGTAGAGTCTCCTTTCTCCAAAAGTACAGGCCACTGGCTATGTGCACCAGAGCCACCTGGTCCTCACATTCTGACTCCAGGGGGTTGGGTCACAGACAGCAGTCCTGCACTGTGAGCAGCCATGAGTGGACAGGCCCTGCACTGTGGTCCATCTCTGTCTACATGTGTCCAGCACAGTGGCCAGGAGAACACATGGGAGGAAGAAGCTGAATCTGTGTACCTAAATCCTGGGCTCAAAACCTGAAGTGAAATTCGTGTGAGGATGGGGAGAGGCTGTGAAGATGCAGGGAGAGGGAAGCACTCCCAGTACTGGCAGACAGGCAGAACAGAGGGAAGTTAGCATGTGGTCAGGATCGCAGGGTAGCCATGGAGAGGCCTGGACCCAGCATCAGGAGAGTGGCTGCAGAGGAAGTGGCTTTCCTGTGGCTCCAAGGAGCAGCAAGGACTCAAAGGTGTCTCTGGGGGGGTTGATGCTGGGAAAGCTGGGGTGAGGAGAGAGAGGATGCACAGTCTAGAGTAACAGGGATCAGGAGGATCGGAGGGGGACAGGAGGAGCTGAGGGAGACACTCTCACGGAAGGAAAAAGCCCATAAGCTTGTGGTTAGCTATCTACCCTGTAGTGGTGACTCATAAGGAAAAGCCAGAGTAGCTTTTCTGAGGGAGGGGACAGCAAGGTGACCATACTACCAATGGTACAGTCACAGGAGAATGGGACCCTCCAGGCTCCCTGACCCAACCATGCCTGCAGGCACCTGGCCAAGAGTCCTAGAGTTGCAGTTTCATGTGGAATGAAATCACAGGACAGTCTTACAGGGACTCAATCTGCCAAATGGGGTCTTCCACAGGAGCAGTAGGTTAGAACTGCAGTTTGGCTTGTCTCTGGTCACCCCTAAGGCTAGCTTTCCTGGCATGGCTTCAGGCTTATGTGTGACCAGAAAAGGGTCTCATTTAGGACCCAACTCAGAAAGTTGTAGGGACAAAGTCTGGTGGCTGTGGCTCTACCATCCCAGGGGAGCAGCTACTGGAAGAGTCACAGAAGACAGAGAAAAGCCTCCCTCCTGGAATATTCCAGAGTGACCTGTGTCAAACAGCAAAATAAGGCTTAGGAAGGAATTGGGACCACTAGTCATGCTGACCCTTCATCCTCCTTTTTGAGGGTCAGGTATACTGAGCCGATGCTGTGTTCGTTTTCTGTGTAACATGCCACATCAAATTCTCATGTGACATACTGAATTCTGCAGGATGGCACTATAAAAAGTGTACCGCTCACATCAGGTGCTCAATGAATACTGCATTGTGAACACCCAAATGGATGATCATTCCATTTTACAAAAGGAACTGAGGCTCAGAGAGGGCAGGCAGCTACATTGCTAGTGAGCAGTTGTGGCCCCATGATCAGAGCCCATACCTGTGTGACAGCCTAGCATGAGTTCCTCTCACCATTCCTTGTGGTCATGTCTAAAAAGAAACCCTGCACTGGAAGCAAAAAACCCAACTTTGAGCCAGGGCCCCTTGGTGCAGTAGGAAGGTGAGACGTGGGAGGACATGGGAAAGCTTCCTAAAGCAGATGGCATTTGAGGCAGCTTTTTGGGAGCTGGTCAGACTCAGAGGTGAGGTGAGTGGGGTAAAGGGAGTGGGGAGGACATTTTAGATGTGGAGAACTGGGAGAGTTAAGATCCTCAAGGCAAATTCACACACAGGAGAAAGAAGACTGGGGCACAGAGCTCCTGGGGACAGAAGTAGCTGGTGTACTGGTCAAGATGCTATATAGAGATACAAGGTACATGTAGCTTACCAGCCTCAAGTCAGGATGGGTCAGATGGCTAATTTTGCTTGTTGCTTTCAACTCTGTATGGAATATATGGTTTTAAAGTTTCTGAATACAGTCACACATTGCTTAACAACAGGTTTATGTTCTGAGAAATGCATGGTGAGGCAATTTTGTCATTGTGCATACTTCATAACCTGTGTTTACATAAAACCAGATGGTGCACCCGACCACACCAGGCTACAGCCTATTGCTGCTAGGTTACAGACCCTTATAGCATGTTATTCTGCTGAATACTGTACGCAACTATAACACAATGATAAATACTTACGTGTATAAACATATTTAAACATAGAAAAGGTATAGTAAAAATACTAGGCAATAGGAAAATTGCAGGTCCATTATAAACTTACGGGACACCATTATCTATGGTTCCACTGTTGATTGAAACGTTATTAGGTGATGCATGACTGCATTTCGGCAGTGTTAACTCATCAGTATCCATTTGACCTTCCTGTCAGCATTTTAAGAATAGCGCATTCATTTGTCTCTGCTCGAAATCTCTGCTGCTGTTGGGTAGGATGAGGAATACGATCTCTGTGGCCCACCTGGGCTGCCCATCTGGAGGTGGGGGTGACTAATGAGAAGCTGGTGAGAGGAAGAGGCTGTGGAGTAAAGGTTAGATTGGGGCAGAGAGAGGGTGAGACCAAGGAGAAGAACCGAGGAGACTAAAGGGCTGAGAAAGAGCAATAGTTAGAAAGATGTGGGGGCAGAGCTGGAGATTGAGAGCAGAGAGTATGTAGCTGGAGGAGGTTGGATGTCAGAGAGGAAAGGAGACGTTGGAGCAGAAAAGAAGGGAGAGTTGAAGAGCAGAGGGGAGAAATGGAGCCACTGGGGGAACAGAGAGCAGAGGAAAAGGAAAAAGAGGAAACAGAAAAATAAAGGAAGAGATGGGATAGCAAGGGAGGATGGGGACACAGAGATTGAGGGTGATAAGAAAGTTGTTCCTAAGAAAGAATAAACCATCCTCTACTAACATGTCCTTCTTTTTAAGAAGGAAGTACTTTAGAATTTATTCTTCATTAATACAGTAGGTCCTTGTTATCCTAAGATATTGTTCCACTGAGGAAAAACCATGAGGATTCAGGGTGCATAGAACTCAGTACTGCACCGTGGATGCTTGGTTCATTTTTCCCACAACGCTGTCCAACTTTCACTAAAGACATTCCTCCTTTCAACTAATCTAAAACTTTTACTCTGTTACTTAAATTAAGCACATTGTGTATCCTTTCTGGCTTGGAAGAATTATCATAACTTTTACCTTGCTTTTTGGGCACCATTTCTTTTAGGGAGGCATATTTTCATAAAATTAAGGAGAGGGAAACACTCAGTGGATCACACTATTTACATACAACTGGTGATAATGTGGAACTGACTGAGAACTTTTCCACATCAACTGAGATGCATGTATGGGAATTTTTGTTTTAATTTCTTTTGATTTATAAAAATGTGTTATTTTTTGGCCATACTTGGTTGAAACCATGTGTAATAAATCCACCAATGAATCCAGATGCTACTGTAAGTTGAATGGTTAATAAACTGTGTAGTGCTAAAAATCAATCAATCAATAAATCTACAAATAAGGCAGGCTTACTGCATATGAAAAATATTTGCTGGATATATTTAAGACTTATTTATGCTTACTGAATATATTCAAGAGTCATGGAGTCAGCATCACCCTATTGTTCTCACCTTTCTTCAAAGTACTACCAGGGAGTGAAAGCGGCCAATTTCCAGAAATTTTTAGATCTGTTAAAGTCATCACATACAGTTACTTTAAACTTATGGAGTTAAAGAAACAAGCCAATTTGTCAACTTTGCTTCTAGTTGGGCTAGCTTCTGAGAGCCAGGCCATTCCATGTATGACCTGGGCTCTCCTTAGCAGAGAGCAGGGACCCAGTGAAGGTGCAATGCTCACAGGGGAATCCCACCCGTGAAAATCTCAATTCCTGTCTTGAATCACTATGCTGAACTCTGATGAGTTGCTAGCAACTCAACTTATTGATAAAAATTAGTCTTGTCCATTATTCAACTGAAATGTGCATTAGGGGAGGAGGGCTTTGTCCAACCATAATCTGGAAATGATTGACTTGTTGTGTAGAAATAGTCATTATTGTTCTTATTCTTCCATAATCTGGAAATGATTGACTTGTTGTGTAGAAATAGTCATTATTGTTGTTCCTGGTAATGACCTAACACTTTTCCATGTACAATGGAATAGCCTTATAGCAAGTGCTTCCTCTAAGGTTTCTCTTCTCTACCTTTATTTAAAAGGCACAACTTGCCTTTATAGATATTCTGGCTGAGAAATGAGGAAGTAACTATGGGCTGTGCAAGACAGAGTGGAGTAATTTTGCATCAACAGGAACTTTCTCAAAAGCTGATTTTTTTCAAAGGGCCTTTTGCACTTCCCCTACAGTGCAGTAGCCCCTTGACCTGCTGCTCTCTCAACCCAATGGAAATGTACTTGCAAATCTCTTGTAAAATTTGCCTCTGGGATTCTTGCTGAGGTATTTAATCACAATGTCATTTGAATGACTTCTCAGGCTAGAAAACAGAATAGAGAAAGGGAAATAATAAGCAGAATGGCACTTTCATCTTTCACCCAGTGACCCCATGATGGCTACACCTCTGTGTCCCCTCCTAGGAAGAATCATGCCCTGGGTTCCCTGTGCTAAACAGCCTGAACACACTGATGGCCTGTGCTTCCAGAATCTTGTGGTATATGAAGTAGAATGGGTCCCACCCAGCCCATTTATAAAGGGGAAGTAGTTTGTCCTTTGTCCTCCTCCCCTAGGTATTGGGGGAATCCATGAAACAATGGAAATAAAAGTGCAGACAGAGTCCACATCCCAAATGCATGACACATTCACTCCACTGTGGAACTCAGGACCAGTCCCCTGAGTGGGGAAGCCAAGCAATAGAAGTCGTTTTTATGCTCAACATCCAACTTTTCTTTGTCCTGTGTGGGGGGGATGGGTGGGTGGGGTGCTGGGGTTTGCACTTCACAGGCAGGCACTATACCTCTTGAGTCATGCTGTCAGTCCCACCTAACTCTTTTTTTTTCATTTTTCTTTTATTATTCATATGTGCATACAAGGCTTGGTTCATTTCTCCCCCCTGCCCCCACCCACTCCCTTACCATCCACTCCGCCCCCTCCCTCTCCCCCCCAATACCCAGCAGAAACTATTTTGCCCTTATTTCTAATTTTGTTGTAGAAAGAGTATAAGCAATAATAGGAAGGAACAGGGTTTTTGCTGGGACACCTAACTCTTTTTGAAAGGAGCCGGGCAGGATTAAATAATTTGCTAAATTGGCGGAATACCAGATTAGGTTACCTTGAGCTTCTGAGGCTGCAGGGTAGAAATAAAACCCACTAGAGTTTGGAATCCAGAAAAAGAGTTGACTTTATTTCCTTACTTTAGGGCTCTGCAGACCTTACAATTAATTCATGAACTTTATCCAGGAAGCATTCAATTGAAGCATATGAAATTCCCAATTGTGTTTATCACAGTTAATTCTGAACAATTTCATATGGGTAACCTAATAATAAATTAATGGTGGGAAGGCAGCGTGATAAAGTCTACATCTTTTTGGTCTATTTCAGGAGCTGGGAGTGGTGGCAGGGAACAGATCCTCCCTTAGCACTAGCAGTATGTCTGGGTCTATTATCGTAATCATTTATTGAGCACTTCCTATGCACCAGGTACTAGGTGAGGCTCTGAAAGCCACGATCTGTCCAGGCTCAGAGAAAGCCAAGGGACTGAACATCATTCCCTCTCACAGTGCCTGGCACCAGACTCGAGGTGCAGTAAGCGTTTGCTGCATTGCATTTGTTCCCCGAGTTCCCAGCCTCCAGGTCTCTACTGAGAGGATGAAGGGAAGCCCATTTCCCTCTTCTTCCTCTAAAATTCTGGTTCCTAGGATGGAAGTGCTCCCTGGTGCACATTCAGCCTGGAGAGTTTCCTGTCTGCATGGGTTCGCCTGTTCCTTCTTTTCAAATACCTTTGGGGCCTGTCCCGATTATGTAAGCGGCCCAGGTATGGAGACATCTGCTAATGCCACTCCCAGCCACGGAGTGGGACTGGGTCCGCCATGACTCATGGACCAAAGAAGCTAAACTGTTGTACAGCTAAGTTAACTGAGAGCTGATAAGAAGAGTGGAACTCGGGGCTCTGGACCCGCGGGCTCGCACTCTCTCCGCCACTGCAGTTGGCTGCCAGGTGCGGAGGTGTGGTGTGCACCTCACAGTGGAGCAGGACTCGGAGCAGGGTTCTATGCGCGCCACCTCTGCGCCACCCTCCGGCTCCCCGCGCAAGGAGCCCTGCGAAGCAGGGACACGAGATATGGCCCATGGCTCTCGCCCGGAGGAGCCTGTTCCTGCCTCATGCGTGAAATGGAGAGGAAAACTTGAGCCTTCCCCTCCTGCGGAAGAAGGGCGGCACCCTGGCAGTCCACTGTCCATCCCCTACCAAGTCCCCGCCGGCAGGAAGCCCAGCGCGCGCGCGCCCCTACCCTAGTTCCACTCGCCCCGACGGCGACTCAGGTGCTCCCAGCCCGGACTCGACCGCTGCGTCTGGGTCCTGGACGCATCCCCAACTGGTCCCCGCCGCTCCGACGGTCCCCAGGCGATCCCCCGGGCGGATTCCTTTCACCCCGTGGGAGTTCTGGACCCTCCCTGCTCTGCCCTGGCCTCTCCGACCGCCCTCAGCTACCCCCGTGCCGGTAGTCCCGGGCCCACCGGTCCCCGCAGTGAGTCCTCACCGCGCCGCGCTCGAAGTCGTTGTAGAAAGCCTTGTCCAACAGGTGCTTCTCGCTGCAGCCCGCCGTGCCCACGAGGCTCAGGTAGATGTAGTCGTCCGTGCCGGCGAACCACTGGCTGCCCGTGGCCACAGTGACCGTGTAGGAGGGCATGGCGGCAAGCAGCGAGCGCCGGGGAACTTAGGGTAGTAGCGCGGGAAGCCTCGAGCCGCACTCAGAGCCGCACTCAGAGCGCATCCGCACCTGCGGGCCACAGCCGCTCCGGCCCCCGCCCCTGAGCCAGCCCCGCCCCCTGGTTCGGGCCCCGCCCCTGTCCCAGTGCCGCCCCGGGCCCCCGCCCACTGGCTCCGGCCCTCGCCTCCTGACCCGGCTTTACCTCCAACCCCAGAATCGGACCCTCCTGCGGGGTTCCTCCCCTCTGACCTGGCAGGGGTCACTCGTTCCCGTGTCCCATCTCTTCTGCATGGTAGGTGTCCTAGCAGCCACGGGACCCCGGCAACCTTAACTCATCTGTGCTACCTTTCTTCCCGATTGCCTCAACTTCCCTCAAGGCCAGGCTCCTGTACTCTGAGGACCCTAGAAATCTAGCTATAGTTCCTGCCTTCATCGAGGTCCAAGGGCTAGCGGCAGGCTGCACGACTAGGCTGAACGACCAGGACTGTTACGACCCGGATTTGGGGCGGCTTCCTGGAGGGGGCCGCTCCTGAGCTGATGTCCAGCATGGAATCTGGAACCCAGGCTTGTGCCTTGGTTTCTTCACAGGCTGGGCGAGCTTCTCTCTGGGGTAGGTACAGCAGTTGCAGAGGTGAAACAATCACCTTCAGGGAAATGGACAGTGGATACTGGGAGGCAGGACAGCTGGAGAGAGGGGCAGCCAAGACTGCAAACCCCAATGTGAATCTGTGGGGCGTCTGGGGATCCTGAGGTAGCAGTTGTGGGAAAGGAGTCTTGTTAGGAGATGGAGCAGGGAGTCCTGGGGAGAAGAGTGGGTTTCGTAGCCAGAACATACCAGGAATTAGAAGTCTGTCTTTGGGGAATGAGCTGCTCTGCCTGGTAATGGGTCTGCTTTCTAAATTGTGGTGTGGAGAAGCCTACAGGGATGTCGTGGAAGGTTTGGGGCGCTAAAGGGAAGCTTCTCCTGGCTGTGGCATGACATCAAGTCTCTGCCACTCCATCCCACCCTTACTCCCCACTGTGGTACACACTCAGTAATATTTAATGAGCTGCACTTGGCTTAAATTTTAAAAATGGATGCACTCTGCGAGAGGTGGTGGGCAGGCTGGGTCACAGGCTTCTACACTCGGTTTGAGGAAAGGGTTAAGAGGCAAACAAAAGGTAGCTTCCCACTCCTACACACAAATGAGATGAAGACAGCTTCATAGCGGGGGGGATGCTTGGTACCCAGCTCTGTTAGACAAAATGTCTTCTCCAGAAACTCTGGAGGCTGGATGAAGGATAGCAATGGAGTTGCACCTCAAATCCAGGAATAAAATTCCTATTTTCTTAAAAAGTAATTCAGTAATTTTTCTGACAAAAATAATGAACTATCATTTTAGAAAATGTAGAATTATATATATATATATATAGAAAAGATTGATACAGAAACAAAATTTATAAAAACACACAGAAAAGGTAATGAATAAAAATTTGTTACATGTTTTACAGACATTTTTAACACCATTAAGAATGCAATGCATTTGCAATTTCATGTCATATTTCCATTTCCTTACCGTTATAGTATATATTTTCCTGTCATTTCATTTAAAAATATTTTAACTGTGCAATGTTCAGTTACATGGATATGCCATCATTGCCTCAATTAGTCTTCCTTTATTGGACATTTCGGGTGCTTTCATGCTTATAAATAATGCTAGAGTACATATTTTGTACTCTAGGAAAAAAAGCTTTTTATTGTGCTGGGTGGGGATACATTGTGTCATTTACAAAAGTTTTTACAATATATCAAATATATCATACTTGAATTCATCCCCTCCACCATTCTCTTTTACCCACCCCTCCCCCTTATTCCAGGAACAGTTTCAACAGGTATCATTTTTCCATTTACATACATGTGTATGCAGTATTTGCATCATAATCATCCTCCCACACCCTTTTCCTGCCTCCTCTCCCTTCCTTTAGGCACCCTGCCCCCAGGACTTGTCCTGCCCTCTGGTTCTTGTTGCTTGTTCAAGATAGCTACACAGTGAGTTTCCCTGTGGCACTTCCATATATATATGTACTATAGCCCTAATTGGTTCATCTCTATTTTTCTTTCTATCTTAGTCCCTTTCTTATGGTAGTTTCAACGGGTTTAAAAGTTCTATATTCATTCTTGTATAGAGAGTACACGAACCCTTTGTGGTCTGCAGGGAAATGGATGGAACTGGAGAACATCATCTCTTAAGTGAAGCTAGCTAGGTTAGAAGTCCAACAGTCACATGTTTTCCCTCATATGTGGAATACAGACCTAATACAAATACAGCAATATTATGAAAAACAGGTCACACCAAAGGGAGGTCACATATGAGATGGGGAGGGTAAAAGAAGAAAGTTAAGAAAAAAAGTTTTCTTAAGATAGGAACCTAGAAACAGGCTACTATGTATATACAAACATTTTGAGACCTCTATTACATATTACTCAACTACTTCCCAAGGAACACAGAATGTTTGTTTCATAGACCTTCCCATCATATGATAGCCTCCCAAATATCTTTAAGTCTTGTCTTCACTGCCTCTGACCTAGTTTAGGCTCTCAGCATCTCCTACATGGATTATAAAAATATCTTCCTGCCTGATTCCTCTACTTCTAGGTAGATTGCATTATCTCACTGCCTTATATAAAGCATCACACCATTGCTGTGATGGTTAACCTTGATTGCCAACTCCACTGGGTGATGCCCAAGAGTTAGTAAATCACACTTTGGGTGTGTGTCTGTGAGGCTGTTTCCAGATACAATTGACACATTGGACAGTAACTGAGGGGGAATAGCCTGACTAAGGACAGCACCATCCAGTAGGCTGAGGCCCCAGATGGAGTAAAAGCTGAAAGGGGAGAAAGGCAGTTAGCACTTACAAACTCCATGTTTCCTCATGAGTGAATCTATTGCTACTGCAATGGTCCATGAACAACAGACTCCAGCTTCTTCAGCTTTTCAACATGGACCCACACCAGGCACTCTCCAGGGAGTGTCCAGGCCTTCAATCTTGGACTGGGCTGCATCATTGGTTCCTCTTGAGCTGAGGCTTCTAGCTTCTTGGACTGAGCAGCTACAGGGTTCTCTGGCTCTCCAGTGTGCATTTGGTTGGCCACTGTTGAACTGCCCAACCTCCGGTGGTGTGAGCCAGTATAATAAATCCCTCTTTATAATTGTACATATATTTTATTGGTTCTGTTCCTCTAGAGAATCCCGACTAATACAATTGCTTTCTTTCTTTTTTACAGATTTACTGAGATGTAATTAATAAACCATAGAATGCACACATTTAAAGAGTACAGCTCAATGTTTTTTAAGGAATATTTACAGAATTGTGAGATCATCATTCTATTAGCAATCACTTCCTATTTCCACTCTCATCCCTCCAACCAAGGCAAAAACAAATGGACTTTCTGTCTTCATAGATTTCTTTATCCTGGACACTTCATTAAGTGGAGTTATATAATACATGACCTTTTGTGACTGGCATCTTTCACTTAGCCTAATGTTCTCAAGGTTCATCCATGTTATAGCATGTATCAATACTTCACTCTTTTTTTATTGCAGAATTTGAAGTGTTTATCTACTCTCCAGATGATGGAAATTTGATTGTTTCCATTTTAGGGGTCTTATTAATAATGATGTTATAACACTCATGTACAAGTTTTGTGTATATGTTTTCATTTTCCATGGGGAGATTAACTAGGAGTAGAATTGCTGGATCAAATGGTAACTGTCTGGTTGGCATTTTGAGGAAGTGGCAGACTATTTTCCAAACTGGCTGTATTTCCATCAGCAACATATGAGGGCTCCCATTTCTCCATATTTTTGCCAACACCTCATGTTGTCTGTGAAGTACTTTCTCACTGTGGTTTTGATTTGCACTTTTCTGCTATCTAATCGTGTTGGACATCTTTCCACAGACTTCTGGCCATATGTATACTTTCTTTGGAGAGATGTGTATTCAGATGTTTAACACATTAAAAAAACTATCTACTTATCTTTTTATCCCTGGCTTGTAAGAAGTATTCTTTATTTATCCAGGATAAAAATGTCCTGCCTGGGGGGAGGGCTGGACCAGTCAGAGAGGGGTGGTGTTGAGGAAAGGGTTTAGGAGGATGAATTTAGTACAATAAAATGTGTGCACATGTAAATAAATGCAGAAATGATACTTATTGAAACTACTCCAGGAATCTGGGGAGGGAGGATGAAAGAAAATGGTTGAGGAGGTGAATTCATGTTTGATGTATTTGATATATTGGAATAACCTGTGTAAATGCCACAAGTACCCCCACCCATCACAACAATAAAGGAAAAAAATCTCTTAGTCGCTAAACAATTTAAAGACATTTTATTACTTCTGTGAGCTGTCATTACACTTTCTAATGATGATACTTGAAGTATAAAAAACTTTTAATTTTGGTTAAGTCCAATTTCTATATATTTTCTTTTTTTGCTTGTGATTTTGGTGATATAGCTAAAAAACATGGCCTACACTAAGATCACAAAGATTTACACATATGTTCTCTTCTAGAATTTTTATAGTTTCAGCTCTCCATTTACATCTATAATGTGTCTTGAGTTAATTTTTATTCATGGTGTGATATAGGAATCCAAGCTCACTGTCTTTCATGTGGATATCCATTCATCTGAGTGTCATCTGATAAAACAACCATTTTTTCCCCATTAAGTTCTTGGCATCATATTAGAAATTAATTTAGCATAAATACAAGGGTTTATTTTAGGTATTCGATTCTGTTCATGGACCCATGTGCTTGCTATGCACTGCACACTGACTTAACTGCTGTAGCTTTATAGAAAGTTTTGAAACCAGGAAGTGTTAATCTGCCAGTTGTTTTTATTTTTCAAGATTGTTTTGGCTATTCTGGGTCCTTTGCATTTCCATGTAAATTATAGGATCAGCTTGTCAATTTCAGCAGAAAAGCAAGCTGGGAATTTGACAGGGATTGCATGGAAGCTGTAATGTGTGTGGGGAGTGTTGTCTGATCCACAAGGGTGGGGTCTGTTTCATTTGTTTCCATCTTTTCTAATTTCTTCAACAATGT